TATAGGTGAGAAAATCCAGGAGCTAGTTGAGAATGTGGAACTACAGCTGCAGAGAGGTGAATGCTACCACATCAATGTGCACATGAGCATGGAGGTGAGAGCAGAAGGCAGGAGAGTAGATGAGATCTCTGGCCAGAAAGCATGGAGCAAGGAAAGAGAAGCCTGGAGACAGCCCCTGGGCTGGAACAATAACTAGGGAGGGGGCTATTTGGGATAGGGCAATTAGAGGTCATCCAAAATGGTGACCTTTGAGCTGAGCCAGCCATGTGAAGACGAGGAGGAAAAGTGTTCCAGGCTGAGGAACAGCAATTGCAGAGGCCTTGAGATGAGAAAGACCTAAACTGTTCTTGGAACAGTTCAGGAGGGCAGTGTGGCTAGAGTTGGTAAGGGAGAGGAAGGCAGTGTGAGACTGGGTTTGGCTGGTAGGCTGTGGTGAGTTTAGATTTTATTTTCAGGACAATAGAAAGTTATCAATGGGTTTTTAGAAAGGTCAGTCTGGCTGCAGGTGAACAAGTGCTTGTGGAGTGAGGAGGAGTGGAAGCTGAGATCAGCTAAGAAGTTCTTTGAGTAGTTCAGGTGGGGCATCCAGTGACTTGGGCTAGGTTAATGGCAGTGGAGAGGAAGAATTTAAGGTAGAAAGAGCAGGATTTGATAAAACCCAATGTGTCTAGGAATCTTGTTGATGACCAAATCATTTGGGCCTTGAAATTTTAGAGTTGGAAGTGAGTTAGGGATCGCCTAATATTACTCCTTGACCAACCACCTTATTTTCCACTCTGCTCTGTACAAATACCTTAGCAAACAGCAATAACGATCTGCTCTCAAACTTGTGTGGTCCTTTAAAGCTTTCCGTGTGCTTCGTCATCAATGCTTCCTTTAAGGGCATGGCCTCACCCAACCTTTAGCTCAGCCCATTGCTCAGGTGCTCTGCTCCAGCCGATCTGGTCTTATCTTGCTAGTCAGGTGCAGGGAATGGTGGTTCCTGTGTTGTAAAGTGGGACTCACGTGGTAGGGGCAGAGGCGTAGGTGGTGGGATGAAGCTGGAGAAGTGACTCCACTCCAGAGACTGACTCTGAGTACACAGCCAGCCATCTTGTCTTAAGACAAGGCCAGGACAGCTGCCTCCTCTTCTGGTGACCTCCTCCCCACATTCCAGCCTGTTCAAATCAGACTGTGTTCACAGTCCATATTGTAATGTTTTCTCCTCAATGGGATCTTTCTCTGCTTTCTTCCCCTGACCTCATCTCTCATTCCTTTGAACTTCCGCACTGTTGTCTCTTTTCAGGCATTTATCTCAGCCCAATTGTTATTCTTATTTCCAACTTTCCTTGAGGTATTGTGTGTTTCACTTCTTTATAGCCCCACTTACATGTAGCTCATGCATATAGCACAGTCCAGTGAAGGTTGTTGAACTGAACTCATTCAAGGTCAAATACATCCTTTGGACATGGCAGGTGCACAGAAAAATTAGAAGGGAGCTAAGATTCCCTGGTGAATGCTGATTCATATGTCTCTACACAGGTGTGATGATGAGGCAAGCGGGGGCAGAAAGGAAGCAGAAGTAGTAAACGGAGCAGTTGGGAGTGCTTAGAACTAAGAAAGTCTGTGTGTGGCAAATTCCGTTAGAAAACTCTGACTGAGCAGGAGCCTGACCACCATCTTAACTCTTCCTCATTTAAAATTTAAAACTGTCTGTGGGGAGATATTCTCCTTTTAGGATCATCAATCTGATTTTGTTCCAGAACCCAGTTGGGAAATTCGGTTTTTATTTTAGGAATTTGCTAGAATATACTGTGGCAGAAACTGGCAAATGCTCACTAAACCCATTTCCTTTTCTTCCTGTGCACACAGCTCAACTACATTTCCCTGCCTCTCTTACGGGATATGAACATGTGACCAAACTCTGGCTGTGGAGTGTAGGCAAAAGGGATGTATGGCACCTCCAGTCCTGACCCACAAAACCTCCTACATCGTCATCCAGGCTCTTTCTCTTATTTGCCTGCTGGCTGCATGCCAGAGATCCGGCGGAGGGCAGCACTGCCCAATGGAACTTTCCACGGTGATGCAACTTTCCATATCTCTGCTGTCCACTGTGATAATCATGTGCTCACTGAGTGCTGGAAATGGAACACATGTGACTGAAAAACTGAATGTTTTACTTTATTTAATTTTAATTCATTTAAACTGCCCCAGGTGGGTACGGCTGCCACATTGGGCACCACAGCTTTTGATGCAAGGAGTCTGGTTCCTTAGTGACTGGATGGAACAGAATTTCCTGTTTACTTGTACTGCACAGTGAAGTACATGAGAAACCAGTACGGTGTTAAGACACCAAGATGCAGTATCTATGCCATAAAGTGAGGGATACCTGCTGATTCACCTATACTAAAAATTCATATAGTATATATCTTCAGCTGGGTACCAACGTGGCTGGACAAACCCAGTATCTAACATCAAATCCAATTATCCACTGTCATTCTTAGAAGGAAAATCTAAACTTCTTTTGCCTCTCTTTAGTTCCCAATCTTTCTTCACCCTATTTTATTGGGGGAAAAAAATGGAGGCCGCCCCAAGCAGGCACTACTTCCTTTTTCCATGTAGGGTAGCAGAGTGAACTCAGGGTTCTGTTTTCCCCTCCATCATAACTCACTGTGTGACTCAGGCAAGTTACATCTCTTCTCTGATTGTTGGCTTTCTCATCTTTAAAGGTGCGATTTCTGGTTTTGGTTATTTTTCTAAAATGCTCTTTTCAAATATTTGCTCTCTCTCTGCACCCTTTGTGCTTCTCCTCCTATCTTGGAAGGGACGATCCTCACTCCCGATGTTCCTGGTACAAGCCCCTTCCAGACCCTGCCGTGTTCCATTCTGCCCTGTCTTCAGCCTTAGAAATCTTTCCTGCTTTCCTGCCTGTTTCCTCTTTACCAATGATTAAGCCCATTCCTGCTATCACTACTGCCTCCCATTTCACTCACCTTCACCCTTTCCAGCCTAGATTTTGCACTGATGTCTCTGCAGAGATGGATTTTAGGAATCTCACTGTAATTACCCTCCCTTCAGCTTACAAAGGGTGGGCTCTGGGGACAGGGTGAGTCTCTCCTGTCTGAGCAGAGAAAGACACTTAATCCTGTTGCACAGCTTTTGTCCCTTCATCTATAAATTCTAGACTCTTACCTCCTACACTGCCAGGGTGTCATGAGAATTAAAAGTTTGTAAATTGCCTTGAGTTCCTCGGAGATAGCTAGTGAGTGCAAGGAATAAAAATCATTTCATATAAAGCTGTTGAAAAACAGGCAGTGAACTGGTTCACAGTCTCCCCCATTGGGTTATGATTATGAATGTCTCTGATGGAATATCACATTACGGCAGGACAAGTGATGCCTGTGTTCAGCTGCTAATTGTAATAAAGAGCTTAATTTGCACTTCTATCTATTTTTCATGTCACTGGGTTGGGGAGTGGAGGTGACAGGGATGGGGATATTCAAGGAAGCTTTATAAGCCCATCCTTGAGTTGGTGATGGGGAGATGATTGTTCTAGCATTGTAAACAGTCAAAGCTAGACAGCTTGCTACCATGAACTCTCCAGCTATTCTTTTACTTAATTACTATTGTTTTTCCTATTTCCTAAGGCAGGGACTTTGAATCCATCATTTCTGCACCTACCCCTTCCTTCCTTTTGTTTTCCTTACTTTTATTTCCTTCCCTTCTCCACTTCCTTCCTTTCCTTCCTCTCTCCTCCTCTCCTCTCTTACCTTCCTCCCTCCGTTTGTCCCTTCTTTCTTTCCTTTGTTCCTTTCCTCCTCTTTTTACCTCCCTTTCTTTCCTCTTTCCCTCCCTCTCTTCCTCCTTTCCTTCATTTATTTTACTATTATTCCTCATAATTTTGATGATCTACCATATATATTGAAGAGAGTGGAGATAAAGTAGTGAATGAGATAAATAAGATTTTTGTTCTCATGTAATTTGAAAACTATGATGGTTGACAACCAACCACACAAGGAATTCTAACAAAGTGTTATTTGTTCATTCATTGTTTCATTCATAAATCATTAAGGAGAGCTTACTATGAGCCAGGCAGTGTTCTAGGCACTCGGGATACATCAGTGAACGATTGACTGATAGTGGGGCTCTGATGGTCAAAGTACAGACTTCTCTGAGAATGGAAAGCAAGAGACCTCTTCTTATCCAAGGGGTCAGGAGGGACCCCAGGGAAGGGATGCTTTGATGGTGAGAAGTTAGCCTGGCAACAAAAGGGGCAGGGGAAGTGTTCCAGCTAGCTGCTGAAGGGAGCAGCCTGTGGAAGGTCGGGAGGAAGCTCACTCAGTGTGGCTGGCGCACATCACGTGTAAGGTCAGAATGGCAAAAATGAGTCCTGAGAGCAAGGCAGGGGCTGATCCCCAAGGGCTGTCTGAGCCACAGTGGGCAGTTTGAGGTTTATTCTAGGTCATCTGAAGGACACTGAAGGGGGTGAGGACACTCAGGATCAGAGCCTTCCAATGAAACTTTCTGCAGTGATGGAAATTGGTCTCTGGCCAACATGGCAGCAGCTAGCCATGGAAACTATTTATTGCACACTTGAATTGTGACTGGTATAACTGAGGAACTGAGGTTTAAATTGTATTTTATTGAAATGTAAATAGCTCACATGACTAGCAGCTAGCATAATGGACAGTACAAATCGGTATAGTCTGCTCATCATATCCAGAATACAATCAAATTCCTCCTGCACCCCCATGTAGGCCCTTCTGCAACTCTTAAGGCTTCCCCAAACACTGAAGCCTCTTGTACTGATTGAATCTCTCGGTTAATTGGGTAACTATATGTGTTCCCATTTCTCCTCAATGAGTGTGCACACGCTCTGAGTGGGGACCGCTTTTGGGCTTTTGTTTTTGCCCCAGGGCAGGCCACATAGCCTGAGTTCGTTGAATACATTTTGTTCAATCAATTGATTTCTGTTTTCCTTCTTGGGCTGATGGGTAGAAAGTGCAAGGATGCAGATACCAGTGTTGCAGATGGGCTGCCCATGAGGTCTGTGTGCCCCAGCCCTCCGAGAGTACACAGGGGACGTCTGTCCGTGAGAAGCCAAGCCGCGTGGCCTCTGGGAGCCCTTCCAGAGTCTCATTTGCCCAGCCCTTGGGTGTTTCTGTGCTGTGAGTGGGGTGAGGTGGAGGGAGTTCTCAGCTTTCCGGCAGAAAGGCAGGCACCTGTCACCACCCTGAACACTTGGCCTGCTCCTTTGAGTGCTTTACAGGGACAGGAAGCTTGCTTTCCATTCCTGTATTTTCTCTGGACAGTCAAATCACTTCCCCACTGAGGCTTCTAGTTTTAAAACGATTAAAAAAGGGCCTATTTCCATGCTTATGTTTTAGGCTCAGCTAGAGGCATAAAGGGAAATATCCTCATAGTAATTGCTCTGAATGGATTTGGGGGTAATAGATGATCTGCCTCTTCCCCAGCTCCCCTCAGCCACAGGAGCCAAAGGTGTATGGAGCTCCTGCCCCGAGGGAGAGCTGCTGCTCAGTGCATTGTTTTGTGTGGCAGCAGAAGGCCCATGACACGGTGCCCAGGGCTCGTTCTCTCACTGGAAGCACAGATGGTGTCGCCCCGTTTTCAGAGTCCACGGAGACTGCAGACGTGGTAATTTTAGTGTTGGAACAGGGATCCTGCCCTGGCAGAGTCTTGGTTCCTACTTGGGGAACGTATTTTCGTAGAATAACAGACTTTCAAATGTAATTTAGTCAGTGCTTGCGTTTTCTGTGTCCTTTTCTGGTGGTTGTCACTTGCAGCGATGTGGACTACATTACCATATGAGGCTGCCCTCCTGACCTCAGGACCGCTGACTCTTGCAACACACTTCCCTAGGTTGAGCTAAAATCTGCCCTTTGTAGTGTTCACTCCTGGATCCCAACCTTCCCCCTGGGGACCCTATAAAGCAAGCCTGATCGTCCTTCCTTCATGTGAACACCCACTGGTATTTGATGAAAGGTAAGAGTTCCTTCAACAGTTTCTCCGAGGATAAGGTCTCAATTCCTGTGGTCACCTTGGCTGATAGGCAATCGTTTCTCCCCAGAGAGTGGAGCACCCAGCAGTGGTCTCAGCAGAGCAGCCAGAGCACGGCCATCGCTGGAAGTTCCACTCCTTTGACACAGCCTAAGAGAACCGTGGGAGACTACAGAGCTCCAGTTAGTCAATGCTGCTTATCTGCGGTAATGTTCTAGAAGGTCGCTGTGAACCCTCAGTTGGCCTATGCTGAGCCATTGCTCCTAGACAAAGAGGAAATGCAGTCATATGTCAGTTAATGACAGGGATACATTCTGAGAAAGGCATCACTAGGTGATTTTGTCATTGTGCGTGCATCACAGATATACAAACATAAATGATATAGCCTATTACATACCCAGGCTATATGGTGTAGCCTATTGCTCCTAGGCTACAAACCTGTATGGCATGTTACTGCACTGAATACTGTAGGCCCTTGTAACACAATGGTAAGTATTTGTGTATCTAATAAACATATATAAGCATACAAAAGGTACAATAAAAATATGGTATGGGCTGGGTGCGGTGGCTCACGCTTGTCATCCCAGCACTTTGGGAGGCTGAGGTGGGTAGATCACCTGAGGTCGGGAGTTTGAGATCAGCCTGACCAACATGGAGAAACCCCATCTCTACCAAAAAAATATAAAATTAGCTGGGCGTGGTGGTGCATCCCTGTAATCCTAGCTACTTGGGAGGCTGAGGCAGGAGAATCACTTGAATCTGGGACGCGGAGGTTGCAGTAAGCTAAGATGGCGCCATGGCACTCAAAAAAAAAAATGGTATTATGATCTTATGGGAGCATCGTTGTATATGCTGTCCGATATTGATGGAAATATTGTTTTGTGGTGCATGACTGTATAGGGTTAGGTTCTGTGAGCCTCTGCTTACAACATTTTCATCAAATGATCAATCCATAAGCTTGTTTCATGTGTGTTTTTGTTTAAAGACATCTTCTTTAATATACATTGTTGATTCATTAGCTTTGAACTCTCAGCCAACAGCCCTATAGCTCATGCCTGAACCAAGCTTATGTAACACGTATATTTTCTCCGTGAGGCACATTGCAGCTTTCTTGCACTTAGGAACACTAGACAGCACTCAGTACTATGTTTGGGGCCATTTTAACAGCATCATCACCAACAGAAAGTGCAAAAATGCAAAAATCATGGCACTAAGTAGACCACAAAAGGGAACCTTGTGTACAGCATGAGAGCTGAAACAAGAAGACATCATGTTACCTGTCTGAATTCAACTGGGAAAAAATGTGACTAATTTTTTGCCACCCTGCATAGATCCACAGATGAGCTATGAGTGTTGGTCTTGGGGTTACAAATCAATGTTAGTGAGTAGGCTAATTCACAAGTACGAAATCTGTACTTAATGAGGATGGACTGTACCATGACCCTAAGGAAGTGGAAAAATGGAGGTTGGCTTCATGCAGAGATGTGGAGAATAGTGCCACAGCAGCAATTTCATGCATGCATGTGTCGCAGGGAGGTCCCATGTAGTGGCCTGTGTCTGTATGTGTTTTACTTTTGGTCCCGTGTCCTCAGATGGACTCTCAGCTCCAGCAGAACAAGCCTCTCATTTCCATCAGCCATGTCTGGCACAGTGTTTCACCCAGAGTGGCACTTGCAGATCTTTGTCACTGCGGCTGCTAAGGAGGAGATCAGTGCTGATTTAGAGCAGAAGGAGCTGAGGGAGAGAATGAAATGCGACAAGGGATGTGCATAAGTCCTAAGAGATACTTCAAGTGAAGACACAGAGGTTTAGGTTAATTCAGAAAATCAATGAAGAGGTAGTGGAAGGAAGTGAAGGAGGAGACTGACATGGCTGCACCCACAAGAAAGATGATTTTAGAGGAGGCTGACTGTGCATTGGCATGGGACTGGTGAGAAGCTTGTGTTCCTTTTCCCAGGAAGGGCTTTCCTTGTTGAGAGCACGAGACCTTCGCTGCCGTGTGAATGATCGCTGCTCTTTGTAACAGTGCCCCTGAGCCTAGGCAGGGCTATGTGTCCACTGTTCAGATGAGCAAAGTGGGAGGGGGCTTAAGCCGCCTTCCCAAGGGAACAGAATCAGTGATGGCGCCAGGGTTCCCACTGTTGCTAACCTGACCACCTTAGGAGGGGCTTCTACTGAAGGCAGTGATCACCCAGGAGAGGAGAGGAGAGGAGACACCTTTTTTTTTTTTTTTTTTTTTTTAATATGAGGTTAGGAAAGTGAAAGAAGTTGAGAGAACCTATAAAAGGAGAGGTGTTGTTTTTGTTGCTTGGTCATGACAGCTTGATTCAGTTCAGTAGACATTTGTTGAGCTTCTGCGTGTCCTTCCTGCCACAAAGGACAGAATCATGGGCTGGACAGAGAAGAATTCTGGGCATGGAGGTCAGTGACAGCTGCCTGTAAGTAGGAGAGTGGTTTTAATCCATGAGTCAGGGAAGCACATCAAGGACTGGTAGCAAGGGCTCAGAGTGGTTGCTGAAAGCCATATGCTTTTCTGTAGTACGAGGCTTGAGCCTGAAGTCTGTTGCCTAGAGATGATTCTGTTCTGTTAGGCTGCCAGCTCAGCTCTTTTGCCCTGTGACTCAACATCCATAGGTGCTGCGGAGGTCAGAGAGTTGGAGATACGGTGAGCTGTAACACATGGCACTCTGGCAGGGGAAAAAGTCAAATGGACATGTAACTGTAGAATTATAGTGTGTCTCCAGTGCTGTGTGATTACAAAGGAGGCAGAAATTGCTTCCTGTTGGAAGGTTGCCCAAGGCTTCATGAAGGAGATGATTGATGTGCTGATTGGCCGCCAAACTGCCCTTGCCCTTACCTTTCCATCTTTGTACTTTCCACCCAGTTACTTAAGCCAAAAATCTAGAGAAGTCATCACCAATTCTCTCCTTTTCTTAATCTTCCCCACATCCAATCTATCACCAAATTGCTTAGCTTCTATCTTAAAAATAGAGCTCAACTCTCTCAATTTTACTCTTTATTCATTGCCACCACTGGAGCCCTGGGCACATCACCTGTGGCTGAGACTACTGAAAGAGCCTCACCTAAGGGTGGCTTAACATTCTACTCATTTTCTTCTTTTATCAGCAGTTTTTGCAGCGGCCAGAGTAATCTCTCAAAAAATAATCCAAGATCCTGCCACTCCCCTGCTCAAAAACCTTTGTAGATTTCTGTATTAGTCGGGATCCAGCTGTGAAACAACTTTAGATATTTCAAGCTGGATAGGTTGCATAGGTACAAATAGAGATGGAAGGCAACCCAGGGCAGGCAGCCGTTACCACCTTTACACTGGAGGCACCCGAGCCCTGGAACCTGGAACTTACTCAACCATGGTGAGTCCTGCCTGGGGGTAGCTGGGAATTCAAAGGGAGGGGCTGTCTGGGTGGAAGCTGAAGTGGCAAAGGAGACACCGCCATGGCCAACGAATGCCAGCTAGAGCCAAGAGGGAGAGGGGAAATACTCTAGCTTATCTTTTCTTTCTTTCTTCTAGTACTCCCCTGCGGCCTCCCAGTGGTCAAACCTTGCCAGAGCCAGTTCTCTAGGGAGTCTGGGGAATGCTGAAGGGTGGAAACAGATGTGACAGGAGTGCGGTGCAGTAAATTTCAGGCACTGGCGGAACTATTTATGCAGACTGGGTTTGGCTCCTAGGTGGAGTAGAAGGCTGTTGGATTTGTCTGTCGGAAAGTACCATAGCACAGGAATCTGCTCTGCCACTCCAGATCTTCTCTCTGTCTCTGTCTCTCTGTCTCTCTGTCTCTCTGTCTCTCTCTCTCTCTCTCTCTCTCTCTCTCTGTGTGTGTGTGTGTGTGTGTGTGTGTGTGTGTAGTGGAGGGATAGACCTCTTTTGGGCCAGGGATTGGTGAATGAGGAAGAGCTTCTCTTGGCCTCCTGTTGAGCCTGGGAGGACAAGCACAGAATATTCTTACGAGCAGTCTGTGGCAGATCAGCACAGAAAGTATAAGGAACAGGTGGTTTGGTACCTCCAGAATATAATCCCAGTGTCTTTTAATCTGGCATCAAAGCCTTTTAGGATCTCATCCAATCTTACCTTCCATGTTTCTCTAACTGGAATATTTTTCCTGACGCTCAACTCAAGACTTACTAATTTCACCCTCCATGCCTTTGTATGCCTTCATTCAATTCCTATCATTCTTCAAGAATGGTTCAAACCTCACCTCTTCCAGGAAGCTTTCCTGGTTTCCTCCAGAACTCAGCGATCTTGCTTTCCTTCTCACAGCTCCTAAGAAGGTTAAGGTTGCTTTTACTACTTGGTAAGATCATAGTTTTGCCAAAGAAGGATAGTTTACCTCTCCAAAAATATTTCAGGCTCTTCCGTGGCCAGGGCAGGGAGTCACTAAGTCTTTGTATTCACCAGAGATGTCATCACTGTGTGCAGGAACACAGTGGATGCCTGACCAACATCTGTGGAATGGAAATGTATTCAGTCCTAAAGATCAAGTAGTCAGTGTTCAATAAAACAAAGGAGAAGCAGCTGAGCAGATAGAAATGTGTGATCAATGATCTCGCAACCCCACAAAAAGGTGCTTTAGAAATAAGACAGAGCAATACAGTCATTGGAACCAAATGTGAGACTGTGACTCATGAAGAGAAAGGAGGCTGCCCCTAATTAACAGGAAGCTGGAAAAAAAGACAGTGGCAAGAGAGAGGCTGAGATGGGCAGCAGGCTGAGGACACTTAGCATGAAGGTATTGTGTGATGTTGGCAATTTTGAAATGTTATGTTTAGCAATGAGTAATACATAACTGATCTAGTGGAAAATGTAGGGCTGGTTTTTCAGGGAGGTAAGAATGAGATCTGTGAAATGATAAGGAGTTAATTGCAGATATCTGTGTTGGAAGTTATAATGTCAGTTTGCCAATGCAGGCATTGCCATGAGTATGAATGGATTTTCTTTGTGGAGTGCTGGAGGCATAAACAGCTGCAGGTGTTGTTTACATGTTCCACATGCTTTCATGCTGAAGTGTGCTTATCAGCTAAATGCATGCTGTGGGAGAAGACTGCCGGGGTTCAAATCCTGGCTCTACCAATTACCAGTTATGGGATTTTAGGAAAGTTGATAAACCTCTCTGTGTCTCAGTTTTCCTCATCTGTAAGATGGGGTTAATAACAGTACCTTCCTTACAGTGTTATCATAAGGATTAAACGAGATGTAAAGGATTCAAGAGTGTCTAGCTCATTGTAAAAGCTGATAGGATGTTCGTTATTATTACCATTAGTTGTCTTTTATGTTGTCTTCAAGGCTTTGAGGATGGAACTGATGGAGGGGCAGGTGATCTTTCCTTTTCTTTTTTTCTGAGACAGGGTCTCCCTCTGTCACCCAGGCTGGAGTGCAGTGGCATGATCTTGGCTCACTGCAAGCTCTGCCTTCTAGGTTCAAGCTATCCTCCCACCTCACATCCTGCGTAGCGGGGACCACAGGCACGTGCCATCAGGTCCAGCTAATTTTTTGTATTTTTGGTAGAGACAGACTTTTGCAATGTTGCCTAGGCTGGTCTTGAACTCCTGAGCTCAGGTGATCTACCTGCCTCAGCCTCCCAAAATGTTGGGATTACTGGCGTGTGCCACCATGCCTGGCCAAGAAGGACTATGATCTTTTCTGATGGGGGCAGTGAGTACTCATTTGGACTCAAGGCCTTAAAAACCATTACATTTCAAATATTTGGAAAAACGTTTGCAATTTTCAACAAGCAGGTACCAAGAACCTCTTTCTGGGTTTGTGCGTTTGAAGAGCAGCTGGGGTTATATTATGTGACTGTCAGCCACCGTGGGACTGAGTGGGACTGAGTGCCTGAACCTGGGGATAGCAAGAAAAGTAGGGATTGGCTGCTGGTCTCTAGACAGGGCCTGTAAGGGATCCTGCAAGAGTGTGATGTGGTGACTTCTGTTGGCCAAAGGTGGCTTCTCAGGGGACGGTTGATTGCTGACTCAGTCCAGGTGCACGGAAGGTGCTTGACACAAGAATGGGAAGAGCAGTGGGGGAGTTTACTTTATTGCCAGCCAGACCTGGGTTCAAATCAGAGTTTGCCTTCTCACCACTTATGTGACTTTTGGAAACCACTTAGCATCTCTGAGCCTTGTAAAATGGGAGGTTTAAATAAGATAGCATATTTAAAGTGACTGGCACATAGGAAGACTGAGAAATGTGAATTGCCTTTTCTCAGTTTCTTCATCTGTAAAATTTGGATAATACAGAATATTTTGTGAGGCTTTTGTAACAATTTCAGATAACTTATTCATTCACTAAAATATTTTTAGTATTGCCTACATGCCAGAAATCCTTAAGGGCTTGGGGTATCTCATCAAATAAAATGGACACAGATACAGGCCCTTTTGTAGTTTAGATTTCAGCAGGGAAAGATAGACAATACACTAACATAAACAAATACAGCTTCTAGTGTGTTGAAAGATGATAAGTGCTATGGAGGAAAATAGGATAAGGGGGCTCAGGAGTGCTGAGGGTGGGGTAGTATGAAGGATTCTACAGGATGGCTAAGACAGGCCATCATGTGAAGAAGATGATGGACTTACCCAGAATGATATTTAGGGGAAGAGCATTCCAGACAGAAGAAACAGTGAGTGCAAATGCTGTGGGAGTGAGCCTGGCATGTTCCGAGAGCAACATGGAGGCCAGTGTGGCTGGAGCAGAGGAAAGAGAGACTAGAAGGAGATGGAGTCTGGGAAGTAACAGGAAGCCAGGTGGTGCAGGGCCTTGCTGACCACTGGGAGGCCAGCTGTGGCTGTTACTCTAAGTGAAAGGAGGGTACATTGCAGGATGCTATGCAGAGCAGAATGATGTGCTCTGCCTATTTAAGAGGCTCACACTGCACATTGGCTGCTGTGTTCAGAATAGAGTGTAGAGGGTTAAGGGTGGAAATAGGGAGACCAGTTAGAAGGTTGTTGCTGTGTCCAGATGAGAGATGATGGTGGCTTGGCCCAGGATGGTAGCAGTGGATGGTGAGAAGTGACTCGATCTTTTTATATATCTTGTAGGTAGATTCAATAGCATTCACTGATGATTGGATATGGGGAATAAGAGAAGTACAGGAGTCAAGGACAGCCTGGGCAACCAGAAGGATAGAGCTGCCATCAATTTGGAAGGAGATTGGGAAGCAGGCATGGATGGGAAAAGTTAGGAATTCACACTTGAGCCTGTTGAATTTGAGTTGTATGTTAAATATCCAAGTAGAGAAGTCATGGAAGCACCTGGTTATATGAGTCAGAAATTTGGGAGAAAGATCTGAGCTGAGATATACATTTTGAAGTTGACAACGTATATGGTAATTAAAGTCACCCGAGTGCATGAGGTCACCAAGGGAGTGAGTGGAGACAGGAGGGAAAAGGACCAGCAGCCTGAGGGCCTCCAGCTTAAAGAATCAAGGCAGAAGAAGAAGAGCCAGCAAAGGAAGTTGAGAAGCGATCAATGAGGTCGAAGGAAAACCAGGAGACTGTGATGTCATGGAAGCCAAATGAAGAAAGTGTTTCAAGGGGGGCAAGAGTGATCAATTGTGTCAAATAATGTGATGAGTCAAGTGTATTAGCTATCTATCATTGTATAACAAATCACTCAAAAACTTAACAGCTTAAAACAACAAAAATTTATTATCTCACAAAGTTTCCAGGACTCAGGAATCTAGGAGTTGATAAGGTGGCTAGTCCTGACTCAAGATCTCTTGCAGGTTGAAATTAAGTTGTTAGCTGTGGCAGCAGTCATCTCTAGGCTCAACTGGGGCTAGAGAATCCCATTCCAAACTCGCTCTTGCAGTTCTTGGCAACCCAGTTCCTGACCATGTGGGCCATCTGAGTGGCTTCTCCCAGAGCAAGTGGCCCAAGAGGAAGACAGACTGCAGGAGAGCACCCCAGACAGAAGCCACAGTCTTTTGTACCTAACTGTGGAAATGTCATGCCATCACTTCTGAATGTTCTTGGTTACATAGACCAGCCCTGGTACAGTGTGGGAGGGGACCACACAAAGATGAGCATCCCAGGAGGTGGGGTCATCTTGGAAGCTGGCTACCACATCAAGCATGACAAGAACTGGTCACTGGGTTTAGCAGTGTGGAGGGCATTGATAATCTTAACAAAAGCAGTGGGGAGAAAATTTTGATCAAAGTTGGTGTAAGAAGGGATGAGAGGAGGAGAACTGAGACAGTGAATATAGATGACTCTTTTGAAGAGTTTGCCACAGAGGGGAACAAAGAAATCAGGTAATAGTTGGTGAAGGAAGTGGTTTTTCTAAGATGAGAGAAAGAACAGTATGTTTGCACGTTGATGGGAGTAATCCAACGCGGAAGAGAAAGGTAACTGCTGGAGC